GAATGAGCTGTAGCTCCCGAGTGCGGCGTAGCCCCCGATCGTACTATAGGCTTCGACAACGGACGCGTCGGAATACGAGAAATATAGTTTTGAATGGATATTTTGCAATTCATCGAGTCAGACTCGGGTAAAGATGAGGAGAAGCTTCTGAGTGATGCTCGAAAGAGGCAAACTCGCAAAAGAGTGAAGTGTGTGAAGTTTAATTATAAAAGGGACTTATCTGTCTCATGCCTGACGAGGTCTATATCATTGATACGATGAAAAGGATTCCACAGAGGGGTTGGCTGGATGTGTTTGAAGCCAATAGAGCGACAAGGTCGGTGTTGTGGTGCGCTAGGACCGGTACGGTGATCGAGTCTGAGCAGCCATGAACTTGGTGCATATGGTCATCGAGTGATCGCGTAACTTGTGTAAAAAATGGCACAAGCCAACGAAATAATTTTTCAAGGAAATTTGATGTGTGCTGAAATGATTTGTGTGAATAACACCCATAGACACCCGCCGTGAGTGCAAGGGGCTTGCTGGTTAACCAGCAGGAGTCTGAAAGAGCGAAGGATCCGTTCGAACGTGTCGAAGCGACGGATCCGACTGAACTCATTGGAATACTTGCTCAGATAAAACAGAAGTGTAGTGTTTCGACTGAGTTGCAGCCCCGGAGGACCGATGTGAAAAAATGGAAGTTGGACTTGGGAGTCACATAACCAGTACTAAGAAAGTATGTGAAAATAAGCAACTGAGCGTAGAGGTACACTCGGTGGCGTCGCCACCGAGTGAACGTGATGTGTGAATTACGGAATACTCGGGAAGATGAAAATAACATAATGTAAAATGACTTAGCTGTCTGAAGGCGCGCGGGGCGGTCGAGTGATGATGAGGTGACCAACCGATGGCAACGCGCGGGGCGGCCGAGTGGTGATGACGTGACCAACTGAGTGGCGACGCACGGGGCGGCCGAGTGGTGATGAGGTGACCAACCGATGGCAACGCGTGGGGCGGCCGAGTGGTTATGAGGTG